TAATGTAAGTAAGACATGTGAATTTTATTATTTAGATAAAAATAAATGTAAAATATTAGAATAATATCTAATTTTTAAATACTTTTTTTTCAGTTTGGAAATACCTGTTATAGTAATTCTGTACTACAAGCTTTATATTTTTGCCGGCCGTTCAGAGAAAAGGTTTTAGAGTATAAAGCTAGGAATAAACGAACAAAGGAGACATTGTTAACATGTTTGGCGGATTTGTTTTACAGTATTGCAACACAAAAAAAGAAAGTCGGATCTATAGCTCCCAAAAAGTTTATTGCCAGGTTACGGAAAGAGAAAGGTCAGTGCAATATGTATTTTTCCAGTTCTTATATAATCCTACACGAATGATACCATATGTAATTATATATGTGCTATAAATAATATATGTATTTATGATTTATTACAGAGGAATTTGATAACTATATGCAACAAGATGCGCATGAATTTCTGAATTTCTTGATAAATCACATAAATGAAATCATTTTGGGTAGGTATACATTTGCAACTATGTTTAAACCAAACATACATTGTTATACAATAATATTATATAGTTTCAATGAATTGGAAAGAAAGATCATTGTCATAATTGAAAGTAAAGCCAACATTTATTACTTATATTTTTAAATATAGTTTTTTGAAAGAGTATTCTTATTTCAATCTTAGCAGAGAGAAGTCAAAGTAAACCACCTGGTGGGAAGTGTGGAGCAGGAGATGTTGGTTCACCTTCGGAACCAACATGGGTTCATGAAATATTTCAAGGAATCCTAACATCAGAAACACGCTGCCTTAATTGTGAGACTGTATCAAGCAAAGATGAGGATTTTTTTGATCTACAAGTTGATGTAGACCAAAATACTTCAATCACGCACTGCCTCAGATGTTTCTCTAATACCGAGACTCTTTGTAGCGATAACAAATTTAAGTGCGATCACTGTAGCAGTTATCAAGAAGCACAGGTATTCTTAAAGGAATTTGTAACTTATAATTCTGTTTGAATTAATACTCCAGACTATATTCCAGACTATATTCCAGAAACGAATGAGAGTGAAAAAATTACCAATGATATTGGCATTGCATTTGAAAAGGTTTAAATACGTGGAACAATATAATCGTCACATCAAAGTTTCTCACAGGGTAGTTTTTCCGCTGGAACTCCGGCTCTTTAACACTGTAAATATTTTTTTAGTTATTTCGTATTTCATTAACTTAATAATAATTAATATATAGATTAATACATTTTTTCTAATTAATGTACAGAGTGATGATGCAGTGAACCCAGATCGATTATATGATTTGGTCGCAGTTGTGATACATTGTGGAAGTGGGCCTAATCGAGGACACTATATTTCAATAGTAAAAAGTCACGGATTTTGGCTGCTTTTTGATGATGATATGGTCGATGTAAGAGAGAACTTTATATACTTCAAATTATACATATTATATAACCTATTCGAGTACATGATTATCTTGAAAAGACATGATATATTCAATTTTGTTACTTTATTCCAGAAAATTGATGCTTCTACCATAGAAGACTTTTATGGACTTACATCAGATATTCAGAAG